ATAGTTTTGGTCTGTGGTGCAGCTATTCCATTGTTTTACGTAGTAAAAAGAGCAACATTGAATGGAGGATACACTCCTTGGTCGGACTGGAGCGTTTGTTCGAGTGATTGCGGCGACGGAATTCGCTTCAGAACTAGAGATTGTGCGAATCCTGTCCCCGGCAGATTCGGCCAGACGTGTCTTAAACAAAGCCTTGGGCAACCAAAGGAAGAAGAAAATTGTAAGATTAAGGAATGTCCCATAGATGGAGGATTCACAAATTGGGGTGACTTTGGCGAGTGTTCCACAACGTGTGGAAATGACGGTGTCAAGAAAAGGAAGAGGTCTTGTACAAATCCAAGTCCGCAATACGATGGAGCACCTTGCGAAGGCGCCGACGAAGAAAGTGGGGCCTGCAACGTGAAACCATGTCCTGTCGACGGTGGGTTTACCAATTGGGGAAATTTTGGCGACTGCGATAAATCATGCGGATCGGGTGTTAAGAGACGAACGCGAACGTGTTCTAATCCACTGCCGGCTCATGGTGGGAAAAACTGCGAGGGTCCAGTGGATGAGGTTGAAGAGTGCAACACTGCACCCTGCGCGGTAAATGGCGGGTTCACGAACTGGTCTGAGTTCGGAAGTTGTAGCAAGACTTGTGGCTCTGGCGTCCAAGCCAAAAATCGTAATTGTTCACAACCAGCCCCAGCGAATGGAGGTAAATATTGCGAAGGACCCTCTGAAGAAACACAAGCTTGCAACACAGATCCTTGTCCTAATATTGGGGCTTAGGGTTTTGGAACTCAAAGACAGTTTATTGAGAAATGTTCATGGTTCCTTTGGAGAAAGAGAGAGTTCCGCCTTTATCCCTATTCAACGCTAGTTTGTTAATACACTACCGCCGTTTTCAAAGCACTAACAAATGTAAAAACCGGTATATTTTCATAAACAAATATTTATTCATACTGCATTTAAGGTGTCTTATCGCTTCTTCACACAAAACGCACTTCGGCAGGGTGTATTTCAACTCCGAATTTAGACTTTCAAGAGTGCTTTATGCAGAGTTCTTCGGTAACGAACACAGGGAAAGTAAAACAAAACGCTACATAGGACAACTATGTCCCACTTTGTCTTAACAAGATCTCCAAAACAATACCCTCTTATAATTAATGCATAAAAACCAACGTGATAAATTTGTTTGAACAGACGACTTTTCTCCCTAAGAATTAAAACTATGTGTGTTGAAGTAAAGATAACCATTACAGCTTATGACACAAAGCAAGTTATCTTGTGAACTTAAGGGTGTTATTGCCATCAGATGCAGTTGATACCGGAATTACTGGATAGTCAATGATTCAGTTATTCGCATAAAGAGTGCTGCTGCTGATGTTATGGCGGCACGTTCCAGATGGCTGCCCACAACTTAATTTTATTTGACAGATTGACGAAATTTTGACGGTAGTCTGGAGGACTGACATCGACTGATATGCGCCCACACCTCCAGAAATCCTTGGTTTTCTGTATAGGTTTTAGTCTTTGTAGATCAGCAACTTTTCTAAAATTAAGAAAAATAAATTCAAGGATAAGTTTAACGTTGTTGTCAAAATTGTAGAGTATCTAAGAATCATCGGAAAATTAAAACTTCTCATCATTGAAGTTTGTCAAAGTAATATAAACTGTTTATATTCCCTCGCATTTGTCTCCTGTATCTTTAAGGAGTATAACATGAAGAATCTATATGCCCGTTCGAAATAGTTTGTAATATAAATACTGCAGTAATAAGAAACATTACGCTGTTGGCCTTTTGTCCATTTTTTAAGAGTTGCATAATTATAAGAATTCTCGCCAGCTGATTGAGTACCCAGTCTACCCAGACGAAATATTGAGAGCAGATTTGTGGCTTGAAAGCGAGGCCGAAGGACGCCCGCGTCGGAAGCGCGCGAAAAAAAAGCTCGGGTTAAAAACCCGTACACGCATGACTTGAAAGCAACAACATTCAAACGGGACAGGAAAATTGGAAAAGAAAAACACTAGAAGGCTTAATTTAGAATTCCATCAAAGGGTGAAGCATTTTTGTTAATTTTCACAAGAGTGGAAGAGTAAACAGGTCCCTTCAGCGAGAGCAATAACTGGGAAACTCTTCGACAAATTTCAAAACGCCATTCAGCTATTCAAGCGTGCTTAGCGACTTTCGTCGTCGTCAAAATCTCAGGTGTGGTTTACCCTTGCAACGTTCTATCAATCCAGTCGCAGGTGCAATTCGATGGAACACGGTGAAGTTGGTGAAACAAGCTGGCTGGAGGTTTTTGAACAATCTCGGCAGCGGAAATTTAGCGTAAGTATGTACCCGGAGTTTTGTGAATAACCTCGCTTTGCAAAGAAAAAAGCAAAATTTTTTTTTCAGGCCTTGTTTTCGGCTGTCCTTTCTGTCGTAGCTTAATTGAATTGTGTGTGGATGTGTGGTCTTGGGAGGAGATTACTATTCACCAGGGTTAGTTGCAATTTATGTCGGCGGCTGTATAGGGAAATGAGGCAAAGTAAACATATTCTTGGCAAAACAATACTTTAACTTCGTCATGAACAATGGCTCACGCTGTCATTTCTCTTTTTAAGGTGCGAGTTTTATCTCGCGACCTAAAGTAGCGAAGAACGTCAATTTGGCCTTTTGTTTGCTGGATGCCTGACAATGTGCTGAGTTATATCAGTTCAAATCTAATAATGGCGCTGTTGGCCATAGACTTTTAGAACTTTAGGAGAATAACCCATCAGAAAACAGGATTTGCTTCATATTGCTCTCGGGCACTGCCAGCGATATAGTAAAATATGATAAGCAATATGATTCACATTGTGAGTATTTCATTTAAGATGAAAAATGAAATATCACTTTTGGACCAATCACTTTTACCTTTCAAATTTACTCACTTTTGTTCGCCAGATGCCTAACGTTTGGTGAGATTACTCTTTGTAATCCCAATGGTAGCGCAGTTGGCCGGCCCATCTTAGTAAGATTTTAAATGTACATTACAATTAGAATTTCGTTATGCTCAGAGTTATTGTTTTTGTGTCCAAACACACACTGCGAAAATTCAGCTCTGAAAAGTTCAACTTACATACCGGTAAATTAACAGTCCTCATTAAGAAAGAAACATAACTAGTTTTAGGAGCCTTTACCTTCCCACGGCAAGTAGCGCCTATCCAAAGCTAAAATGGCCTTTCAGTTTTAAATTGATGAAGTTATTTTCGAAGCATTGGTATGAATTTTTGGTCTAGGTATTTAGAGAAAGCAATTTCGGTCCAAGCTTTGAAGAACTATTGAATGCTGTTGGTAGGGTACCTTTGAGAAGGAAGTAGAATTATTTCAACATATAACAAAATAGTTCGTATATCGTAAGTCTTAATTACTTAGGTTTTTTCTTTTAACAGAACGGTACTATTGTTTATGTAAAGAAGCCTTTATGTATACAAATACATTTTTAATGTTAAAGTTTGAAGTGTGGAAGGGTCATAGCTCAACAGCAGATGTCTGATACTATGCAATTTTTGCTCTCCCTTCTGTCATAGCTTAATTCAAGTGGGAGCACATACGAGGTTTCCTGAAAGGAGCTATACTATTCATCAGTAGCAATTCATGTCAGAAGCAGCCTGAGGAAATTAGGACAGGGAAAAATATTTTTGGTAAGATAATATTTTAAATTTTGTCAAGAACAATGGCTCACACTGTGAATTTTCATTTTTAGGTGCAAGTATTTATCTTGCGAAAAATGTCAATTTGGGCTTTTGTTCGCCAGATGGATGACAATGTACTAAATCATAAAAGTTCCAATCTAATAATGGCGTGGTTGGCCTTAGGCTCTTAGGACTAAAAGAGAACAACGGGGAACTTAATCCTTAGTTTTTACCTGACTTATCAATATAGAAGAGAGATTGGTTACGCCAAAGGACATTTCTGATCAAAACGATACACTATGCACTAGAAGTGAGGTAAGGATATTGGATATAAAATTTTTCTTACTTCAGTAGTTGTTTTGTGGCGTTTTTGACCGGTTCTAAGACATAGAATCTGAGAAACAATTGACTTCGCTTAAAGAGTTTTCGCCTAAAACAGCCACTTGCGTTATAACTCAACTTTTGGGGATGGAAGGTATGGCCAGATTTGGTTGCGCAATTGATGCCCGCCAAAGAAGTTTCTTAAGTAAGAATTAAAATTTTCAAATGCATTTTGACAAAAATACAAGGTCGTTTCAAAGGAGAAAACGTGCTTCATCTTTGACTTTGTGTTTATTGCGAAATATACTAACTACCTTTTCTTTCGAGAGGAACCAAGGTTTAAAATAACGGATGACGTATTTCTAACAAATAGAGGCGCGGGAAAAAAAGTCGTTTAAAGTCAAGGAAAAAAAAACATGCGAAACCGAGTTTTTCACCAATTTTCCACTTGTAACCTGTGCGTCAGCACTGAAGGATATCAATCGAGACGACAAATACCGTAAATACATTTGTATATTGAAATACAGGAGGAGTTTTTGTTTCTATCAGAAAGTAACAAGTATATGGAAAAATGCACAAACGGCTGAAACACAAATCGCCTGAAACATGTCCCCTTTTTTTAAATTCATGATCGTTTAATCAGCACATAAGTTTTAAGCCCATTTTGATGGGTAGGAACAATATTGATTTTAACCGTATGGTTATAACAGGGGCTTACACAATAGAAGCATACCCCCAAAATATTTAGATTTAGAGCTGAGAAACAAGGACTTCTATGTTAAGACATACGAGAGGCCGTTGTAAAACCAACAGTGCTATACCGATTGCAACGTCCCGTGTCCGGCATTTGTTTGTAAAAAAATAACCATCAGAAAAATAATTATTTCTATGTTGCTAAATTTCATATGGCCTCCAAAAATAACTTTTGGATAGCGAGATGACGTCATCAACATAAACTTTACAAACTTCTGTAAACTTTTTGAAGTTTGATCAGGCTTTTTGTAGTTTTCATTACGCCCGTACTTGCTTAAAAACTGCGCTCTAAAATCAAAGATACCATACACAACAATGAAAAAGTACTAATTATGATACTTATATGCAACATATGTGTTGGTATGAATACCTATACCATCAAAAAAGTGGATAATATCAATCTGGTAGTAATTCAATACCTTTTTTTATACTTCGTTCAGTTTTCAGAAACTATGGTTGCAATGGAGCATGTTGAATTTGCCCGTAGCTTAGCACCGTTTTTGATGATATATTTGCTAATATGTAATGGAAATTTTGGTGCCTTAGCAACACAAGGTGAGCAAAAACATTGTTACAATCACATTTAGGGAAACAGAAGAAAAACGTCATTAAATGTTTTCTTTCGTTATCGTTTTATTTTAAAAAGGGTATTCTTTAGGGAAAATAGAAGAAAAACCTCATAAAATTATTCATTTGCCTGAAAACATGTGGCTTCTTATTTCAGTTGGTCGAATCACTCAATCCGTAGTATTCTCTTAAATTGTTTAAAGGAAAATTGCTATTGATTTTCTAAGTTCCTGCTGGAGTTAAACTTTGTTTGATGCTGTCAAGAAATACACGGCAGAGAATATTTTCTAACTTTATTTTATTTTACTTCATTTGAGTTTTTTCTGAGAATGGGAAGTCACATTGCTCGCTTGCAAAGTCCGCAGATTTTGTGAAATATCTTATTTCAAGATCTGCCAAGGGTTTTTATTTCATGTAACCTGCTGAGGGAATAAAGGTAAAGACAGACCGGCATGGACTCCCCATGTGGCTTTTGGGGTCTCGTCGCATTATCGTCTTCAAATTATATTTTTGTTCTCACAAGCGTATCTTTAAGGGATTTCCCCTTTTTGTAAGACATGATCGGAGGTTTAGTAAAAATTGTTTTCAGTAAAGGCTGATTGTGTATCAGACTCCAATGTTTCATCGGTATTTGTTTAAAATTTTTAACTGAAGGGTGTAGCGTTGTGACAAAAGGCAATTAACGTTCGTGACCTTTTGGCTTCTCTGTACGTGTAAGAGCCGATTGAAAGGCAAAGTTGACCCCTAACAGAGACCTTTCTATGATGTTTTCTGGGTACCCTCTCGCTTTGAGGCGTTGTTTGAATTTAAACATATATATTATTTTACGCCTGGTGGGTGGCACGAGGCGAAGTGCGTAAATTGGAAGGTCTCGGTCGGCTTGTAATGGGTTTTGATGTCCAAGATGGAATCTTTTGCGAATATTTCTCCATTAAACATTGTGGTATCTAGGAAAATGATTTGTATCTCTGATATTTCGGCCGAGAATTTGATAGTTAGCTCGTTTAAACCGATTTACCTCTTTTCTGTCGCAATCCCAAAGGAAGAAAACGTCATCAATGTAAAGTTTCCATTCTCTTGGCTTAGTTTCGCCTTGTTGAATTAATTTCATTTCAATTTCCGCCATGAAAATATTGGCAAATGACACTTCCATTTTCGTACCCATAGCGGTTCCATGTGTTTGGAGGAATTTCTCCCCATTAAATTGAAATGAATTTTCTTTAACCCTTTAACTCCCAGAAGTGATTAAAATGTAACTTCTCCCTATAATATCCATACATTATCCAGCAAACAGGTAATAAGAATACTCAAACTTATCAGGTAGAAGTTGTAACCTTGATCTAAAACCAATTCTTGTAACTAAATTACAAGGAAATGTATAGAAGCTAGAGAGGAGAATAAACAATCGGATCTTGGGAGTTAAAGGGTTAAGGATCTAGCCAAGCATTCCCTGAGGTAAAGCGTTGGGATCGGTGCGTTATAGTTGTGGAACTTTTCGTATGCTTTACGTACTATATCCGTTCCTTCTTCTTGAGGTATATTTGTGTAAAAACTGAGGGTTTATATGTTAGACATACTTACGGATTTCATCCAACAAAATTCAATAAAGCCATAAGTATAACTGACAGAAGTGAACGCTTCGAGTGGATGGTGGGGGGCCAATTTTTTTCTGTGAGCAAAGCTCATCATGAGAATCTGTGAACCACGGATTCATACCCTGTCGAGTTCCAAAGGGAAAAGAACAATTAGGCTGACTTGTTTCAATGGTGTTGTAGCAACGATAAGCATAAAGGAGTAGTTTAGTTGGTCTTGTTCATACCTTTCCAACGAAAAAAAAAATTCTAAACATACTTCTCATTTCGTCAGGGTGTGGGATCTTGATAAATGATTCATTGGTAAGTCCTAGATATCCAAGTGACTATCCCAACAATGTGGATTGTGATCATTTAGTTCCCATTCCACAAGGTGTGGCATTAGAAATCTATTTCGAGGATTTTGATGTGGAGTACCACCCCCAGTGTGAGTAAGTAGTGAATCAAGCATGATGAAGCATATGATTAAAGCGTACAATTATTTTACTCACAGGATCACGTCAATAGTTATAATTTTGATTGACGGGCTATTTGCTGTAAATATCCAGCGTAAAATTTGCAGTTAACCCTTCAAGAGTCGATCCGCCATCTTTGATAAGATGCGTACTCTCTCCAGACTCTCACGGGCGTGTTAGCGCCACGTAATTGTACATGGTATGGGCTTCGGTGGCTCACGTCGACAAAGTCGCCAGCCGACTGAAAGTACCGTTGTCGTGTTGGAAATGGCCTTATTCGATAATATTTTGTTTAGATATGCTTTAGCCAGTTAGGCATTTGCTTCGAAAAAAGAAATTTTTGTTCTGCCTTCAGCGTTCATCTGTTTCTTCGTTTCCTTTCATTCTGTTCCCTCGGTACAAACATTACGTATCACCATTACTTCCTTCTTTGTAGATTTGACTATGTTGAAATTTCTAAGGAGACTGGGCTTGTATTTGGACGCTACTGCGGAGAGATTTCTAGACGTGAAATTGCAGTCAGTGGGGACTATGTCTTGATAACATTCCATTCAGACAGTAATGTTCAGGGGAGAGGATTTTCCTTCCTTTTAAGAAATGTTTCCTTTGGTAGGTATGCGATAGGGATCGAATACTGCGGCAAAGTCTACACCGTGATTAATCAGTTCTTCTCTTTTCTGTCTGTCTGTTTTTCACGCATAAACTCCTTTTGAGATCTGTATCCCACACTGCAGCATATCAATGGCACTGAGGTTAGGGGCCTCACAAACTCGTTGTAGTCACTGGGTACATGGCTGTAAGGAACAGGAAACTCAATTCCATACTTGACAATCTCTTTTTCTCTTTGTATTATCACAGTAATGAGATGTGATTCTTTCACCTTCAGTGAACACGCAGACGCATGGCTAGAAATTTTCATTGGGACCTCGGAACGGTATTCTCCCGTCTGAAATTGGCCCAATTAGTATCGCTAATTAATTGAAAAGGAAAAAAAAAACAACAACAACAACAACAAAGCAAAACTTAATTATAGCTTTTCAAGTGGTGAGTGTTCTAAGATCAGATGTGACAAAATAAGTCTCTTTATATAATAGTTCAAAATAATGAGTATTTTTACCAGACAATTAATGCATAGCCGCTCGATTAGGAAATATGGCGAACACTCTCAGGAGTGAGTTTCCCTTATATCGATTACATGCCTCTGTAAATCATAATTACAACAATTCTATTTTAGCTGCACCCAGCGTATCCTTACCGTCTGTAGTGGAAACCTTACCAGGTCATAAAGTGGAATTTTTCGTGAATGGAACATTTCCTCTAAATACAACAGTTATGAAGAACTCCACCGTATTGTTTACAGGAGTAGAAAGTACGGCAGCCCTTATATTCCATGAAGAAGGAAACCTCACTTGTATGGCTAGGAATTCATTTGGCTCTTACTTCAAAGAATTCTCTGTGATATTTGGAGGTATGAATTGGTTCTGCCAATATCGTTTATCTTCTTTTGTTAGCCTTGCAAGAAGATTCCGAAACAAAAATAGTAGCATTAAGTAATTTCTCTTGAGTACACATAAATGTCCTTTTTGATCATAGAAATAACGAAAAAAATTTCAAAACTTTGTCGTGCGTTACAGCTCGGTTGACTGTTTAAGTGCTGTATACGGTATTTTTATTTGTCTGAAGACTGCAGAGCCGCAAAATACAGCTTTTAAAAAGCCTCAGCCAAAGTTGATTTTCAGAAAAGCGTTTGTGCTGAGCTATTGCCGCGTAACGTCACCTCTCGGCCGACTTGCTTTGTTTGAATATAAAGAAATTATTTCCCAAAAATACTAGTAAGAAAGTGAGTGGGGATCCTCTTGTTTAGAAATTTGAAGTGAAAGCTTGCACACTTTAATATCAGCTTCAAATCACCAAATTTTGCGTAGTCTGAGAACGGGAACAATTCATTTACGTCTCTTTTTGAACGCTGCTCCACATATTATGCTGAATATAAGGTCTTGTCACTCTGGTGCCCCTAGAGACAGTAAGCACAACGAATTATTGGTGAAATTCTGAAGAAAACGTAAGCTCATTTTTTTAATCGACGTTACCCTGGCGTCGTTGTCCTAACTGCTTAAGGGCCTTTTACAACTGTAAGAGTTTCCATGAAGGACAATGTGTTTTTTATCGTTATGATGTTTCCTGATTTTCTTTTTTTCTAAGACTGCGGACCTGACTGTTCCTCTAGTTGGAGTTCTGGAAGGAATCTTCTCTCTTGTGTAAATGTGGCTGTGATGCAAATCACACCTTGTCTTGTGCAGACGATTGAAACACTGTAAGATAGGTGGCGAAGCTAATCAGATATATGGCGTCAAACGACAAAGTTTTATTGGTTCAGAAAGACATCATAGTTTTATCTCTCTTCTTTTCGCTTTGCCAACCTCTAACTACAGGCAGACAAGCACACCCACACTCCTCTTTACTCCTAGTATATGCCAGGTAGGTTACTCGTTAACGAGTAACAATCTTTTAATAACTGAGGTTTGAGAGTTGAACCTTATTTTCATTGTTTTTCACTGACGATAAATGCAAAGAAAAATGAATTAATTTCTACTGCTGAATCGTTTGATCGCATCAAATAATTGAAGTTTTTCTGCTTACAGAAAGCAGACGAAGGACTTGAAAATTAGACAATGTAGAAATAGAACTGCGCGGTTGGTGAAATGGTGTATCTTTCGATTCATTGATAGGCATTTGTCTTCAAATAAAATAACCAAACCTTGTCTTTTGGCGCAATTGCCTTTCTGCCTGGCAAATAAAATATTTCAATTTGTTTGAATGCTATTGCCTTAGGTAACTATCTTTTCTCAACTGGTATTAGTCTCTTAACGCCACTGCCTTTCTATCTCACAGAGTATTTTTTGATTAAACAAGAACAGGAGGGGCTTTAAGAACATTTTTGGGGACCTTCAATAAAATCATTGATTCAAATTGTTCAACTGACTATATCCTCAAGGTTATTTATTCTTAACAGGCATTTGTCTTTCAACGCCATTGCCGTTCTACCAGAAGGTGTTTTTTCTCATTTAGTAGTCATTTAGTATTTTGGACTTTAGAAAAGCTGGAGTGGCTGTAAGAGAAAACAGACATTTTTGGGACCTTAAATAAAATCGCAGATGTAACTTGTCTTTATAATATTTCCTGCGGGATATATCTTTTTCTTAACGTTTATCTGTCTTTTTACGCAATTGTATTTCTGCCTGGCCAATTAATGATATCAATTTGTTTGAATGCTATTTCTTTTGGTAACTATTTCCTCAATTGTGATTTGTCTCTTAACGCCACTGCCTTTATATCTGTCAGAGTATTTTTTGATTAAACAAGAGCTGGAAGGGCTTTAAGGATATTTTGGGGACCTTTACTAACTCATTGATTTAAATTGTTGAACTGAATATGTCCTCAAGGTTAAGTTTTTCTGAACAGGTATTTGTCTTTCAACGTCATTGCCGTTCTACCTGAAGGTGTCTTTTCGAATCTAGTAGAGCTGCGAGAACTGTAAGTGATACCAGCCTATATTTAAATACTGGCAAATTCATGGATTTAATTTGTTTTAATACTATTTCCTCGAGTAATTCTCTTTTTCCCAACAGGCAATTGTCTTTCAACAACATTGCCTTTCTACCTGAAAGAGTATTTTGGACTTTAAAAAAGCTGGAGTGGCTGTAAGAGAAAACAGATATCTTTGGGGACCCTAATTAAAAATCAGAGATTTAACATGTATAATATTTCCTGCGAAATATATTCTTAGATTCAATTTAGTAATTAATATTTTCTCGGGAATTTCTTCTCAACAGGCAATTGTCTTCCAACAACATAACCTTTCTACCTGAAAAAATATTTTGGACTTTAGAAAAGCTGGAGTGGCTGTAAGAGAAAACAGATATCTTTGGGGACCCTAATTAAAAATCAGAGATTTAACATGTTTGTATAATATTTCCTGCGAAATATATTCTTAGATTCAATTTAGTAATTAATATTTTCTCCGGAATTTTTTCTCAACAGGCAATTGTCTTCCAACAACATAACCTTTCTACCTGAAAAAATATTTTGGACTTTAGAAAAGCTGGAGTGGCTGTAAGAGAAAACAGACATCTTTGGGACCTTAAATAGAATCGTAGATTTAACTTGTTTGTATAATATTTCCGGCGGGATATTTCTTTTTCTTAACGTTTATTTGTCTCATTACGCAATTGTATTTCTGCCTGGCCAATTAATGATATCAATTTGTTTGAATGCTATTTCCTTTGGTAACTATTTTTCCTGAACTGGGATTTGTCTCTTAACGCCACTGCCTTTTTATCTGTCAGAGTATTTTTTGACTAAACAAGAGCTGGAAGGGCTTTAAGAATATTTTGGGGACCTTTACTAAAAATCATTGATTTAAATTGTTGAACTGAATATGTCCTCAAGGTTAAGTTTTTCTGAACAGGTATTTGTCTTTCAACGTCATTGCCGTTCTACCTGAAGGTGTCTTTTCGAATCTAGTAGAGCTGCGAGAACTGTAAGTGATACCAGCCTATATTTAAATACTGGCAAATTCATGGATTTAATTTGTTTTAATACTATTTCCTCGAGTAATTCTCTTTTTCTCAACAGGCAATTGTCTTCCAACAACATTACCTTTCTACCTGAAAGAGTATTTTGGACTTTAAAAAAGCTGGAGTGGCTGTAAGAGAAAACAGATATCTTTGGGGACCCTAATTAAAAATCAGAGATTTAACATGTTTGTATGATATTTCCTGCGAAATATATTCATAGATTCAATTTGGTAATTAATATTTTCTCTGGAATTTTTTCTCAACAGGCAATTGTCTTCCAACAGCATTGCCTTTCTACCCGAAAGAGTATTTTTGAACTTGGAGAAGTTGGAGACGCTGTAAGCGATAGCAGACATTCTTGGAGACTTAAATTAAAATCGCAGATTTAACTTGTTTGTATGATATTTCCAGCGAAATATATTCATGGATTTAATTTGTTTAAGTAATATTTCCTTTCCATTACTTTTCTACTAAAAAATAAACTAAATCATTGATTTAAACTGATTGAAAACTTTATCTTCAAACCGTTTTTTCTGAACGGGTATTTGTTTTGCAGCACCATTGCCTTTTTACCTTATAAACTGAATCATTGATATAAATTGATTGAAAACTTAATCTTTAAGACCGTTTTTTTTAACGGCCAACACCATTGCCTTTTTACCTTCCAAAGTGTTTTTGAATTTACAGGAACTGATAGCGTTGTAAGGGATAGCAGACATTTTAAGATACTAGAAAATTCATTAATTAAATTTGTTTGAATAATGTTTTCTGCGGATATATCTTTTCCTTACCAAGTATTTGTCTTTTAACACCATTTGCTTTCCGCCTGATAGAGTTCTTTTTATTTTAACAGGAGCGTAGAGGGTTTAAGAGATTTTAGATGCTTATGTTAATCAAATCCGTACATTTAATGTGCATATTATTTTCTATTGAAAATAAGTTTCCTCTCAACAGGAAGGTTTCGTCCAACTCTATTACCTTTCTACCTGAAAAAGTGTTTTTGAATTCACAGAAGCTGAATTGGCTGTAAGAAATAACAAACATTTTAAGATACTTAAGTATATTGGTGCCTCTCTTAATTCAATTTTTAGCACAAATGATCAGAAACAAAGTTTACAGCGTGGTAAATGCGAGGCGAAACCGACTTTACAAAGTCAATTTGCTGGCTCCTTCTTCACCCTAGAATTATAAACTCACTATCTCGTCTTAATACTTAATTCTCTTTTTTTTCGTCTAGGGATTTGTCTTTCAACAAAATTGTCTCTTTATCCACAAACGTATTTTCCGGTTTAAAAAATCTACAGATGCTGTGAGTGACAATAGGCACGCTAAGGATGTCAAAGTGCATTAATCACTTGCCTCTGTTAACCCCAAATAGGAAGTAAACGCCGAATTATGTTTCCTTAACAGGTTTTTGTATTCAAATCGTTTGGCCTCTTTACCTGCTGATTTGTTTGTCAATACAACACTGACTGCGAAGTAAGTAACAATCATACTTAGGATACCCAAATTTCAGTGATCAGAATTGTTTTAACCTACTGTGTGATACTCAGTCGGTGACTGGAGGGGGTTGGTGGCCTAATGTTAATTTGGTGCGCTGTAATCTGGGTCAGGCGGTACGGACTTGAGACTTTTAGGTTGGTGTCTTGTGTTCTCCAGCCAGTGCATGAATAAGTGCCAACTTACTGTCTGGGAAACCTGACGAAAAGTTAGTGGGCTGTCATGGAACAGCATCCCATCCATTTCGCCTCAGGCTACTACTCCGGCCGAATGATCCACTTAGCTTGGTTGCTGAATTTACCTTTACCTTATGATACGCAATAGAAGACTTCAATGGCTAGAAACTAATCTACAAGGAATGTTACGAGGAATGTTTATTAGTGATATTTTCTTTGTGGTCCTTTTTTTTTAAAGATTATGTTAATGAATAGTGGAAACTCTAGAGGAGAGACATCAAAAAGATGTTGAAAGCGATCTTTCTGAAAATTCAGGGAACACTACCCGCAAAGTAATCTCAGTATATTGTAATGACAACGCGGAAACCCTTTGGGAAGGAAGGGGGCGAGATTCTAAAGAAACTGTGATGCTGCGTCAGTGGGAGAGTATAACGGGGTAATTAAGTATTGTCAACTGTTGATGACATAAATTGGCCACCGTAAAGAGTTTAAAAGCTGACGTTTCGAGCGTTAGTCTTTCGTCAGAGCGAAGGGCTAACGCTCGAAACATCGGCTTTTAAAACTCTTTACGGTGGCCAATTTACGCCATTACCTCAGTTGATAATATTAAATTACCCTCCGGGAAGGAAGCTTCCCATATTTCAAGAGGACCACAATTGGTTAAACAAATGGGATCTCTTACTGTACAAACTACTAACGGCAAAATTGAATCTATTTGTTATATATGTCTATATATACTTTTTTATTTTCTTACAGAGACCTCTCGTCAAACCTCATCGCCTCTTTACCAAAAAACGGCTTTTCTAAACAAGTGGCTGCACTGTAAGTGAAGTTATGTTATAAATACATCTACCATCTTTTTAAATAGTAGATTTATTCAATTGATCTTGGGTACTAAGTCAAAGAAAATGTGTGAAATAAAGATAATGTCATACGTGAGAAAAGAGATTACCAATCTAGCGTAAACTTGGTTCTGCTAAAGCTAGGTATAACGCAATTTAATAAGTCATCACAACGCTATTTAACAATTAATACGGATTTACGAGTTAGACTGCGGGACAGTAAATAGTTAAAGAGGTACTCAGCACCAACTCGGGCTGGAAGCAATATCATATCCAATAAGCGCAAATAGACTAATTGTTTTAATAAATTCTGCACGTTTCATTGCTTCCGTGAATGCTTGCTAAATTCATTTTTATACTAAGTATATTCCAAATCTAATTATCTCAACCTGAAGGTAATGCTTCTTTTCACCGCCATAACGGCAAAATAATCAAATGACCCGACATGTGCCGGCTTTTTGATCGAGCTACAACAATTTGGAAATCAGAGTCATTATGGAATCACTTCTTTTCTATAATACATCAACATGGACATTGACTAGGAAACTCGTAAACAAGTCCTTGCGAGTAAATGGTTTGTTGCCTTCAAATTTTGATTGAGTCACCATTTCCTTCAAACGGATGATGTTTACCATCTGGAATCCAAAAATGGGATGATAGCAACAGAGGAATGACTAAACGTGTGACTAATACGTTTAGTGAAGTTGAGCTGCTTACTTCATCCAGAGTTTTCAAGGTGTACTTACTAAACCATTAAAATTCCCCGATTCTTTCACTATCACTACTTTCAAAGCTATTTGATTCCAAGGGGATAAGGTTGTATCGGTGGGGGAGTATAACAAGATAATTTAGTCTTATCAACTAAACTGATCACGTAAATAAGCCACCGTTAACTCAGTTGATGAACCAAATTGTCCTGTTTTGCTTCAGATCACTGGATAATAATCGCTTGAGGCGTATTCCTTATCGAGCCTTCTACAACAGGACTTACTTATTCTTGCTGTAAGTACACACCAAGATTTAGATAGTCCCAAATGTTGGCCCTATTTGTGATTTTTTTTCAAAATTAATTCTTTGTTCAGTAAAGTCACTCCTTGACACAAACGCAAAGATTCCGTAATGAAATTATAGCAGATAACAGTACATTATTTCCATACCATGGCAAGCAAAGAAAGCCTGATGTATTTTGCGTGCTATTTCAGGTTTTAAATATATTCCTTTCTCTCAAATTCTCTTCAAATTTCTGTTTCTCTCAGTTTCGTGCGAGTGAAAAGGGAAATCATGCATCTCTCTCTATAGCCCTCTTGCATCTACACATTCGCCATTGACCAATAGGGTATGGCATACCATTTTGAGCATATTATAAGAGTTTCATCCTGCGGTTCCATAAAACGTTAAATGTTGTAATTATTTTATTCCAGAACACTTTCTGATAATCCTATAGAGGTAATTGAACCAGAGGCATTTACTCTCAATGCCCCTGATCTTAAAATGTAAGTTGGATTTATTTTTTATCCGAAAGGCGCTAACAGTGATTATTTAAGAACGGAAGGGATATATTATTTCCACCGTTCGTCTTTTCTTCGTTTGCTTATTTGTATTGAACGAGCTTTTGTCAAAAAAGGTAGAGTTCATTTATTACTCTGGGAGACAAACTAGATCCTCGGATATTTCATCCAGATCTATATACTATGTGTCATTTTTTTGTGCAGCCTGCCCGTTGTATTCAACCAGTTTTCAAATTCTCGTAGCTTAATTTCTTATCGAACGTTGTCCCATCCTTTTCGTGGAAGGACAGTTATAGGGTTAGCTAATACCTAAAGCTTTGAAATAACCTGCCAGTGTTCCCATTCCCCTTGTTAAAAAGTGGAGTTTTTTTGTGACAGATTTCTTTTACGAACGAGGTTGAAAACGCTGACGTCTGAGTCCTTTTCAAGTATCCATGCTCAAGATTTTCGAATGTAAGTGTCTTTCTTAAATAGATGTAACTTTAGTTTGTTTAAATAGATCAGAACCGCGATATTGCGGGCGTAAAAGATAAGCATTAGACTTTTGCTGGCTCGGTGTCCAGCTTAATCTAGAGATGAAAGTGGTTTTGATAGATGTTCCTTCCCAATTTAGACTTCCAGCGATACACAGAGACGAAAAGTGACCAAAGACACAAAAGTGACCAAGAAAATAAGCAAAAACTTGCCTTTGGCTCGTTTTTCCAATTTTTTTAGTTGGACGAAAAAGACGAGAGACTAATCAAATTTTTAAGAAGCCACTTTACATGCGTATTGTTTCTTGGGAATATTTTATTTCGGGCGTTGTAATGTATTGTGATCTTTAGCCAACAGTGAGCATCGTGAACGGTTTATTTGTGTTTTTCTCCTAATAGCCTCTATTTTAGAAATATTTTTACCCTCCGACTTTAATTCTACACCATAATAGGCTGATCGGTGTTACTAGAGACGATCGTGTGTTATCATTGCAGAATTTCGTCTAACAGAATAGCGAGAGTGATTGATTACAATTACCCGTCAGGCCGTAACTACTCCCTGTATCTGTCAGTATGAATAAGTGCAAGACGTTTTATGAGCCTCTTTTGAGTAGGACAATGTTTCGTTAAAAATATTTTTTAACCATAAAATATAAATTGTTATGGTAATTGAATTTATTTAAGTCACAAAACTTTACAAATACACTGCATACTAATTAATGACATTTGGAAAGGTGATGAAAGGTCGGCCGTTCCTTCTCTTTCCAAATCCTCCCTATGGAAATGATAAATCTGTATCATGGCCATGTTTTGGTAAAAGGTCATAGTTTCCTTACCACCAGTCATGTTAGAGATTCGCTGAAAGTTGTGTTGGGCGTCAACTATGAAGATTAAGAACTTACCTCATCAGCTGAGCTGCGTGACTCACTTAAAATCTCAGAAACATTCGGAATACTTATGATATTTGTTTTCAATTTATTTCTGTCCACCCACTATTAAAAGAAATAGCCTGTAGTCTACATTTTAAATTTTGAAATAACTTGATATTCTCTTAACGTGACAGTATATGCGCTTCCCCCTGTATCAAACCAATGATTCACTCAATTTGGCATTCATTTCTTCTCAGAAATCCTCTGGAATCATATGAAGAAGCCATCAAAGTCCCCTTGACTACTACCTCCTTTGAGGAGGAGATTTTGATTGTGGTTCTGAATCGTCTCGGATTCAGAAAAAGGACTCATAGTAACTACAATATATTTCTACCCTGTCCGTTGGGAACATTTTCAAACTATACCTTGTTGACTTTGGAACCAAGTATGGAGATATGCATAGATTGTCCTCCAGGTATGTTGTACTTGATTCCAGAGAACATTATCGAGACTTCTGGAATTCCAAAAAAAGGTTTCCTCATTAATTTAGCAGTCTGGGCCACGATGACAGGCAATTTTCCCCTTGGCCTGATATCATTTAAGAGAGCCTTAGTGCAATATTCAAAACTGACTCCAGCCCAAATGTAGGCACCCAATAGTAATTGAAAATACAAGTATTTGTAAATATCTTGTTAAAAGAAGAGGACTAACATATATATATATATATATATATATTCTGCTCTGCTTCAACGTATTGAGCACTGTTCCACGCGAAAATCGACTTGCAGACTTCCTATATATATGTATGTATATATATATATATATATATATATATGTGTGTATATATACAGACTGAAAGTTAGGGCCAGATGTATTATGTTCGAGAATTCGAGCATTATGCTCCTAAACGTCACACCCGAAAACATAGCATTATACCCAAACATTTGCTGTTGATCTGGCATTATACCCCTTGTAATAACTCAATGTAAGGGTTTTTGAGAGCTCTTCAACAAAAGAAATTAAAGAAAAGTACTATCACAGTGACTATAAAAGTGATAGAAGCGCAATTTTTACGCGTTTGTGCTCGACTTTTAGTCATTATGTTCGTCAGAGCCATGAGTCCTGTGATCTTCTCTTTTCAGGTGGTTTTTACTCCGATAGCCTCGCTTTCGTGAGTAAAGGTTGTAAGAAATGTCCAAACGGTTCTTACGTTGCATACGACAAGAAACCTGGAAAATCAGTATCAGACTGCAAGTCGTGTCCCCACGGTCAGCTCTAACTAACGATTTCATACCTTTGAATTTAGTTCTCGGAGGCAAACGTTAAAAGTTACAAATTGTTGCCTTTCCGAGATTTTCAAACTATTTCAAGTGTCAAAAGGTGGACAAGTTTGAATAGGAGACGAGTGTACGTAAAACCTTTTCACTTGCTGCCCCAATAGTTCTTGCTGATAAATTTTTACCGGGTTAATGTAAGTCATACACTCATTCGAAGATAATTGCGTGATTTAACACCCAGTCAAAGCCATTTCTATGATAAGAATGTGTAAACTACCCGCCTACAATCAAGCCCAACAAAGGCCAAAAGTAAAATGCAAAAGTCAAAGTTGACAATAGAACATAGGGAGAAGGTGAGATGAAGCAAACAAGTTTAGCTTCAAGAAATGACTTAAAGGTCTGTATAGCGTCGAAAGTCTTTGGTTGTGAATTTGTGTTACGTTGTGAGTTCAGTTCAACCCTTTACTGAGGTGAGGTCTCAAACGAGAACGAAAACATAAACACTATAGCAATCATATTTACCTTTAATAGGAACTGAGACTGACTATTTTGCTGGATACCGAGCTTGTCCATGCCTGGAAGGTCATTATCGGACCCATTTGTTCGAGGAATGCCGCAAATGTGGCGAAGATGGACTTGTCTGCCACGATGAATATGCCTCTTTGAAACCTGGTTATTGGTGGGAGTGGCGTAACGATTCTTACAAACGTCGTTATCAAGATTTTATAAAAAATCTCAATGCATCTTTACCAGCACTAGATGAGAATTCCGTACAGTATCCTTATGCACTTCCAACGCCGTACAGGTGCCAAGTACTAGAGTCCTGCGAAGGCGGATTGGACTCACTCTGTGCAGATGGATATGAGGGACCAATTTGTGCCGTATGCAGCTCAGGATACTACAAGCAATTCCACAGCTGCAAGAAATGCCCATCAAAATCGTGGATCGTGGGACAATTGTCTCTTGTGGCTGCGATTTTATTAATGACATTTACCCTTTTGACACGGAAAAGGAAAACGAAGCTTGGAATGGACCATGGTCACAATCTTATAGACACATTCCTATCCAAACTTAAGATCTTAATCGGTTTTTACCAAGTCACTTACGGCCTACTAGACGTTTTCTCCTATATCAGCTGGCCAGGTTCGTTAAAGGGTGTTGCAAAGTACTCAGAAGTGCTACAACTAAATTTGCTTCATATAGCACCTGCTCACTGCCTTTTTCCAGAATTACGCGCGAATGCATTTGGAGACTTGTTTGTGATCTTGTCATTCACGGCAACCGCCACTGCCGCTTCTGGTGTGTTCTACGGTATTCGTAAGAGAATCATCTTACAAAATAAAAGCCTGGAGGACGAAGAAAAACTAGCCAAGATCTCAGAGATAAAAGGAGTCGTGTACAAAAATGTCTTCTTTGTCCTCTATGTGACTTACTTGAGTACGTTCTCCAAGACAGCCAGCGTTTTACAACTTGCTTGCCGGAAAGTCTGCAGAGACAAAAATGAAAAGTTGTGCAACGAGTACCTTAAAGCAGACTACAGCGTGAAATGCCAAGGCTCAACATATAACCACCTGCTAATTGTTGCATACATTTCCACTGCGTACATCTTAACTCTACCCGTTGCTTCATTCATCGCCCTTTGGAAGCATCGGCGAGCAATATCAACCACGGCAGACGGTGACGTTTCAGACGTTGGCACGGAACTTGTTGAAGGACTCCGTTTTCTATTTGAAAACTACAAACCACATACGTGGTACTGGGAGCTAATTGAAATGTCTCGAAGAGTGGTTTTAACATCCGGCCTTATTCTTGTGGGTCATGAAAGCAGGTCCTACATTGGTCTGGCATGGGTCGTAGCTGGTGTGTATGGAATTCATTTCTCCTGGATGAAACCCATACAGGACCCATTCGAAAACAGATTAATGACGACCTCCCTCGCCGTTACAGTTGTCAACTTGGGTATCGGTGCTGTGAGCAAAATTCCAGCAGAGAACATATCTGACGCAGTGGATAAAGACATGGATGCTTTGACAATGAAGATACTGATTCTAGGTGCAAATACTCTTGTAATTGGCCTTCTTGTCGGTAAGTACTGATAAATTGTTTATGATCAGTTTGAGCAAAGTACTTAAGAGAGGATGTCAGCATCCATCGAACAAATTTGAAATATTGTGGCAAGTCGCCCAAAATTCGTTTTCTCTCCTACTTTCATGTTTTGTTGCCCAACATGTTCTAATAATTGTGGTGTAGTTTTTTTGCGAAAATATATTTTCGAGAAATGACTTTTTTCGTTCCACCGCTCAAATATGCAAATTTTCACCGTGAATATTACCCGAGTTGTCTGACCTCATGTAACGAATGTACTGGACCTACGGTATTTCTGTGAACATAATCTTTTGTTTTATCATCTAAACTTAATCCCCTGTCGTTATTGAAGCTGCCAAGGAAATATTTATTTTTTGGTGAATATTTTTGTCCGACATACTTTTCCTATGTCGAAAAGTAGCATCAAAACAAAGACAGTTTTAACAATGACCGATATGACACAATCTCCTGAGCTTCAAGCTTTTAAAAGACCAAAGGATGGTTATAAAGTTACTGTAAAAATTTCCTTGTGTATTTGTGTTGTTCTATCTTGAGACGAACTCAAAGTCCGGCAAAAATTACTTGATAGCGACTATGAAATGTACATGGTGCGCCTACTTGTCGCCACCGTTAATTGGCATAAATCACTAACTCTTACCTTGTTTATTTATGATTTTATTAGCCGCTTCCATTATTATATTACGTCTGGGTATTACTTTTGACAGGAGTTCAGGTTTTGCGTTGTGTTTTCCCCTCCCTCATTTATATCATGAGCTAGTCACGCAATAGTTGATACCGACACAAGTGAATATTTACCATCTATAAAGATTTTTGTCTACGTTGAATTGAAAATATTAAAATATGTGCTTTCTTCACTAATCGTTGTTTCAGCGGCAGCGAAGCAGTTAAAAGCGGGTTGTTGCTTCAACGCTACTGAAATTTTTAGTATTCGAGCTGAACAATCTTTATTACCAGAAATTACTATTGTCAGAAAAACTTTTTATGATTTGAATTTTATTTTCTTTACCATCAGTTCAATACTATGTGTACGTATATCAGTATTTAAAAGAGTGGCGCAAGAACCCACGGTGGTCCTTTTCCTGTTGCTTGGCGTTGGTTCTTCCTCTCAATGATTTGCAGGGGGAAATTCGCGGTATGGTTGGAAAGAACATGCTTAAAGCACAGCTTCAAACAGTTATGATGGGAAAACCTTCCATTAGTGCCTGCGCAAAAGAGAGTGGAGCAATGAGTTTCAATCTATCTCGAGGAGAAGTCGGTAGAGATGATGCAAATACGGCAGAATTCCATGAGGTACACTTGAAGAAAAACAAACACCAGCAGTGCCACCAAACTATCAAGTGTGACCTTGGTACGCAGACAGAGGTCACTATGCCATCATATGTTGCTACCCGTTGGTCACTTGAGCCAGCAGATATCTCTGTGAGTACATTCAATATTTAAAATTTATACTAAAACCGATAATTAAACAACTAAACTAGTTTTGGCGGTAGATTCGAATGAAAAGCGCGCTTTGCTTAGTGCCGTCTGCGGAACGATCTGACACTATCTCCGTGCAAATGATCAACGTTATGAGTATAAACATCCATATCGAAGTCATTTGATTATGTGTATTTTCTTTTAGTCATGAATACTTTTTTCTAGTCATTCAACTTGCGAACTGTCTATAAACGACCGGAAGTAAAGATTCCATGAGCTCAGTCATTATACTCGACTTGCTCCACTTTCATATCACCATTACATTAAATTCATGGGAGAATTACTCGGGTATAATTCTTCCAGTTATTCATTCTTTCTCAATCGACATCCTACCTTCATTTACATACCCACCTGTCTCTCAGAAGTTTTATCATTTTCGTGTTACTAAGATAACGGATCAGTCGGAAGTTTGGCAGTTTTTTCTACACAGACATTGTAAAACCATGGCTTTTGCAGTTTTCCTTTGCTCTGCGAGAAGTGATGAAATTCTGTCTGGCTATAACACTCATTATGTTCTGTAATTTTATGCTTCCTTCCCTTCAGTTGGACACGACCCTTTGATCATCACCTGCTAAAACAGTGGAGTCGCATTAGTTGAAGGGAGTTTAAAGGAAGCAATTTACATGAGAAAGCAATAGTTACTCGATGTATCGCCATGTTCGGTATTACTCCATCAACGTTAAGTTATATTTTAATACATGTGGGTCATCCATGCATTATCCAGCAAGCAGGTAATGAGAATACTCAAACCTCTGAGGTAGAAGTTCTTATCTTAATCTTACTTCAAGTTCTCATAACTAATTTACAAGGAAATGTGTAGCAGCCAGGAGGGAGAATTTACAATCAGATCTTGGAAGTTAGTGGGTTTATAACGTGACCGGAATTTATGTTTTAATAGTTAAGGTTTTCTGTAAAGAGCTCTGTGTATTTCCTGAAGGAACCTTTTCCTATTTTCTATACTCAAACTGAATCAGGAGAAAACAGATAGGTGAACAGGTTGTTCTTGCATGTTTATTTTACTAAACTGCTTTATGTTTGTTAAAAAGCAATGTCATTTGATGTTAATTAAGTACACTTATATGTTACAAGACGTATTAGTAAAAGCTGAATATGCCATATATCGATAACAGTGAACCTGAGAACCTAATAATGAACCTGAGACAGTTTTTAATTCAAGACGGCAGAGGCTTGTAGTGATCATTTATAGTATAATATAAACTATCATATTACAGTTTTGTGAGTTTTCTAATGTAGAATCTATGTTAATCATTTTGTCTCACTTCAAAAGTTGTGAACATTTTTAATATTAATATGATAATTGACTCGTACCCAATCTTCTTGAAGCTCACGCCAGCGTAATCCTAAGAAAACCAAGCCTAATAAGTGCCCCTTTATCTATTCGGCGCGGCAAAAAAATACAAAACAAAAATCCTTTCCAGGACCCGGGACAGAGAAGAAAAGTGACGTTTTTTCCCAGGGAAGGTCGAAGATTCGTATTTTGCTTCTTTTATGCCCGCAACACGGAGAATGCGGTAGATGTAAGAGCGTATGAAAACGAAATAAAACCGAAGACAATCGGGAAGTATTTATTTCCAAATTCTCTACGAGATTTAGGTTTAAAGCACGACTAAAAAAAAAAAACAAACGTCAAAACAAACAAATGTCAAAACTGGTTTATTTTCATAAACAAATATTTATTGATTACGGCCTTTGGTAAAATTTCCGCACAGCCCTATCCTACATCATGCATTCAGTTCTTGGATAGAGAAAAAAATGACAAAAAACAATACATTGCCATTGGAAAAACAGATTTGTTTTACAATAGTATGGGGCTGTGCGGAAATTTTACCCGGCCTTTTAGGTGTCTTATCGTTTCTTTTCAGAAAACGCTCTTAGGCAGGGTGTATTTTAAATCCGAATTTATACTTTCACGAGTGCTTTATGTAGATTTCTTCGGTAACGAACACAGGGGATGTGAACAAAAGACAAAAATAGGACAACTATGTCCCACTTTGTCTTAAGAAGATCTCCAAAACAATACGTTCTAATAATTCATGGATAAAAACCAACGTGATGAATTTGCATGAATTGATAAACTGAAATAATAAGAAACATTGCGCCGTTGGCCTTTCATCCATTCTTAAGAATTGCATAATGATAAGAATTCTCGCCAGCTGATTGAGTACTCAGTCTACCTAGACGAAATATTCAGAGCAGATTTGTGACTTGAAAGCGATGCCGAAGGACGCACGCGAAAAAAGCTGGGGTTAAAAACCCATACACGCTTACATAAAGTAACGAAAAACGTCAATTTGGCCTTCTGTTTGCCAGATGTCTGACAATGTACTGAATTATATGAGTTCCAGTCTTATAATGGCGCTGTTGGCCATGGGCAATTAGGACTTTAAGGCAATATCCCATTTAAACACAGGATTCGCTTCATATTGCCCACAAGCACTGCCAGCGATATAATATAATATGATAAGCAATGTGATTCACATTGTGAGTATTTCATTTCAGATGAAAAATGAAATATCACTTTTGGACCGATCACTTTCACCTTACTGTTTGTTATCCCAATGGTAGCGCAGTTGGCCGGTCCATATTTGCAAGATTTCAAATGTTCATTACAATGAGAAATTGGTTATACTCAGAGGTATTGCTTTTGTGTCCAAATACACACTGCGAATTAAAAGTTCAGCTCTGGAAAGTTCAACTTACATACTGGTAAATTAAGATTCCCCATGAACAAGGAATCAACTAATTTTGGGAGCCTTCACCTTCCCATGGCTTTTTTGGCGGCAAAGTAAAGGTAAAATGGCCTTTCAGTTTTAAATTGGGGATTTATTTTCAAAGCATTTGAAACGAATTTTTGGTTAAGGTATTCTTGAAGTGTAGTGAAGTGCCTTTGAGAAGGAAGTAGAATTATTTTCAGCATACAACAAAATAGTTCGTCTATGGTAAGTCTGAATTACCTAGGTTTTTCTTTTAGAGGAACGGTACCCTTGTTTCCTAAAAGAAGCCTTAATGAATACAAATATATTTTAATGTTGTAGTTTAAAGTGTGGAAGGGTCATAGCTCATTAGTAGATGTCTGATACTATGCAATTTTTGCTCTCCCTTCTGTCGTAGCTTAGTTCATGTGGGAGCACATATGAGGTTTCCTGAAAGGAGCTATTCTATTCATCAGTTGCAATTCATGTCAGAAGCAGTCTAAGGAAATTAGAGCAGAAAAACATTTTGGTAAGGTACTTTTTAAATTTTGTCAAGAACAATAGCTCACACTGTGAATTTTCATATTTAGATGCAAGTTTTTATCTCGCGACTGTGCGAAAAAGGTCAATTTGGCCTTTTGTTCGCAAGATGGAGGACATTGTACGAAATTATAGAAGTTCCAATCTAACAAAAGCGTGGTTGGCCTTAGGCTCTTAGGACTAAAAGAGAACAACGGGGAACTTAATTCTTAGTTTTTACCTGACTTATAAATATAGAAGAGAGATCATTTGTTACGCAAGAGGAAATTTCTGATCAAAACGATACACCATGAAGTAGAAGTGAGGTAAGAATATTGGATATAAAATATTTCTTTTTGGTTTGATTTAAGTTGAAAGTAATGCATAGTAGTTTTGAGGCGTTTTTAACCGGTTTCGAAGCAACAATTGACTCCGCATGAAGAGCTTTAACCTAAAACAGCCGTTTTCGCTATAACTCAACTTTTGTGGATGGAAGGTATGTTCAGATTTGGTTTCGAAATTAATGCCCGCCGAAGAAGTTTCATAAGAAAGAATTGAAATTTTCAAATGCATTTAGACACAAATGCACGGTCGTTTCAAGGGAGAAAATGTACTTCATCTTTGACCTTGTGGTTATGGCGAGATATGACAAAATTACCTTTTCTTTTGAGAGGAACCAAGGTTAAAAATAACGGATGACGTATTTCTAACAGATGGAGGCGCGGGAAAAAAAAGTCGTTTAAAGTCAAGGAAAAAAAAACATGCGAAACCGAGTTTTTCACCAATTTCCAGTTGTAACCTGTGCGTCACCACTGAAGGATATCAATCGAGAAGACAAATACCGTAAATACATTTGTATATTGAAATACAGGAGGAGTTTTTGTTTCTACCGGAAAGTATCAAGTACATGGAAAAATGCACAAACGGCTGAAACACAAATCGCCTGAAAAATGTCAGGTTTTTTTAAAATCAATGATCGTTTAATCAGCATATAAGTTTTAGGTCCACTTTGATGGGTAGGAACAATATTGTTTTTAAGCACAGTTATAACAGGGGCTTACGTTATAGAAGCATATCCCCGTAATATTTAGATTTAGAGCTGATAAACTAAGACTTCCGTGTTGAGACATACGAGAGGCCGTTGTGAAACTAACAGTGCTATACCGATTGCAACGACCCGTTTCTGCCATTTGTTCTTAAAAAAATATCCATCGGAAAAATATTTATTTTTATGTCGCTAAATAACATATGGCCTCCAAAAATAAACTGTTGGATAGCGAGATAACGCCGTCAACATAACCTTAATAAACTTCTGTAAACTTTTTGAGGTTTGATCAGGCTTTTAGAAGTTTTCATTACGCCCGTACTTGCTTAAAAAATGCGCTGTAAAATCAAATAAACTACACACAATAATGAAAAAGTACTAATTATGATACTTATATGCAATATATATGTTGGTATGAATTCCTATACCATCGATCAAAATTGTGGATAATATCAATAAGGTAGTAATTGCATGAATACCTTTTCATTTATACTCCGTTCAATTTTCAGAAACTATAGTTGAAATGGAGCATTTTGAATCTGCCCGTAGCTTAGTGCTGTTTTTGATGATATATTTGCTAACATGTCGTGGAAATTTTGGTGCAACACAAGGTGAGCAAAAAC